CAAATGACAAATGACAAATGACAAATCACATTAGCCCAGTGGGAAAATGTCGGCGATATGAAGAAGAAGTTGGTTTCGAAAATCGCGCAGTTGGGCGTATAAAAAAGCAGCCAGAGTTTGGTACATTTTTGCTCTATTTCGTAAAGTAGGCAATCTGGCTGTGGTCAAGTGTGTCCCGGTGGTACAGACGAAAGCTTGTCACAGCTTCCTCGGGCTGGCCGGACGGTGAGCCGGTCACCTTTTCGCCCAATTCGACAGTCTTCGGTTGCCGGTGCGACCAACTTTCCCTTCGAAATGGCCAGTCATGCCACAAGATGTCGACGATGACGAGCAGGCCATTGGCGAGCTTGGCCGGCCGAGCTGGAAATCGTCTTCTTCTCGACGAGACATCGCCATGATTAGTTGGCCGGCTTTTTCACACGTTCTCTCCTGCCTCCGAGGCACAGTGCCATAGAACGTTGAGCTTACTTCCACTTCGAAAGAAAGTGTTCGGCGAACAGATTGGCAACTTGGTTCAACCGGAAGACGACCGTCGGTTTTGAACGAGCCCATGCGTCGTATGAATCTCTTCAGCAGACACTTTCACTTCAAGCGGAAGTAGTTGGGGCTCGGCGGTCAAGTGAAATGGCCAACAAAACGACCAGATGCCCCGTCAACGATGAGCGCTTTTCTACACCTCGAGTCGAAGTTCCAAAGCAACCGCAAAGACGCTTTCGTGCCGATATTGCCTCTCCAAAATGCCTTCCGTCTCCCGGACGGATTGGCCGTTTCGCGTCACTTTGGCTGCCGGTGACAACAATTGCCGTCAGTCTCGAAACCAAATCATGTGGAAAATGAACATGCTTGTCGACTACCACGACACCCACACATCTTTGTAATCAATAATCACACTGTGAACATGTCATTTGTGTGAGGTCGTTGTGACTGGCCTTGAACATCACATCTTTCCTGCCACCCACTGGAAGGATAGTCGAGTTTTCCCACACAAGACTAGAATCACCATGGCTGCGA